ACTACATGATGTATTAGTAGTTAGATAGAAGTTTCTCTAATGCACAGCTTCCTTTCTTCTCCTCCTAGCCCCRCAAGGAGAACTGTCACCCTCACCAGCTGGTACTATCTAGATTAAAAATAGACATCAGCTGCACAATTGCAAATTTCTCCTGAGGATACCAACAGCAAGAGAGTTGACTGCAATTCTTCACACAGACAGCATCTAAAAASACATTAGGAATGACATCTCTCTCATCTTCCAAAGCTCTTAACACCACTCACTCTTGCCTTGCCCTCAGTATCTSTTTCTACCAACTCTTCAGGATAATCAGCTGCCTGCTACCAATTAGTCTTGATAAACTGGCAAGGATGTAGCCCCATTAAATTGCTGGCAATAGCTGTAAGGGTTTTAGCTGCTCAAAAGCAAATTATTAACCTCTGGCTCACCAGGACTCTGAATTGGACTMATTTTCCTTTTCACACTTAAATTTATAAAAGAAATAATTTCAAAGCATTGAAGGTGTATATCGCTGTGTTACCTGTAACAGACTATGAAATAGATGACCAACTGGTAAAATTGTTAGGAAAAATCAGTTCTCATTACATGTAAAATTCTACCTGCTTAATTATACCTTTCAAACACTAGATATATTAAAACTGCATTCTATCTTCATTGCAGTATTTAAGTGGAAATAGGATGGCTTTAAAGATGAAGGTTAATGTTGAATGTCAGGTTCAGAGGTAAATTCCCAGATGTTCTTCTGACTGTCTGGGATACCTTGAGTAAAGCATTCTTGTGCTTGAAATGGAAGCTCTTTTTTTCTCACTTTCTCTCTAATATCGTGGACATTTTTAATATGTTTTATGGGTTTTGTTTTTTTTTTTTTAAAGGTATCTTTCATCTGTAAGATGGAAACTCAGCAGTTTTTTTTTTTTTAAAGGTATCTTTCATCTGTAAGATGGAAACTCAGCAGAGGGTGAGGTGTAGGAGCTGTTTAACAATGCCAGAATGCTACTCACCATTTTATCCTCTAATGAAGCAAGATGGAAGGTTTTGTTTTCCCAATAAGAGAAGAGATTAATTCCTCAAATTTTGAACTCCTGTGCAGTCGAGATGGGATATTTATATCATCTTATAACTCCATGTTGTACCTAAAGTAATTCATGTAGGCTAAGGCTCATGGATGCTGTTATAACACAGTAAAATTTAAATAGCTGAGAATAATGTTGAGAATAATGTCCATTTTACTACATTATAAAAAAAAAAGGACATAACAAAAAATCAAAATAAAAAAAAACCAAAAAGTCAGACAAAGAAGGGAACCAGGAGAATCTCTTCATGCTCTACCATGAGGGGCTGTTCTCTCCTTTCACACTGATGTGAATCTGCACTGTGCTGACCCATACAGATTCAAGGCACTGTAATTATTTTCTCTCATTCTGATCTTCCTGGARCTGGAGTGCACAGCAGTGCTGTGCTCTTGTTAGACACTGTCAAMTGCTGTTAATGAAAATTAGCTGGGTGAGGGGTGGGGAAGCTGCTGCCCAGGCTCTGTTGTTCAGCAGGGATTTTCAGTAAAGGCGCCTGCAATGCTGAGCCTCAGCTGACTGTGAGGGTCTGCTTTGGGTCATCAGTACCTAAATATATCAGCCTGCCAGCAATATACTGGAGTGTGCCTCCTTTCAGCATCTTGAAATAGCCAGTGAGAAGACTCCTAGATTCCCTACTTAGAGATATTTAGAGCAGTCACCCCACATGTTCTGCACACCTGAACAAGACCTGGGGTCTAGAGAAATTAGCACCAAGCAGTATCCATATTTAAGGAAATACTTATCTGTTCAAAACCCATGAAACACAAGGGGAAAGATAAACTTTATTGTCTGCCTAATCATTTAAGAAAATAAACAATGAAATACAACTTTTAAAATACATAGTCCCTTACAATAATTTAATAAACCGTGCTGTCATCTCATAAAGAATCTGGATGGTTGCTGTGGTGACAAAGATTATCCTTGCTGCTACTTGATTCTGTCATTTTTCTAAACATGAATTCGTAATATTTAGGATTTATTAACAATGTGTCACATTGATAGAGAYAAATTACATGCTTTAAACTGGCCATGTAATTCTTCTATGATATTACAACCACTTTGTCAACTCAGCAATAAGATATGATGTGATTACTAGAAAATTAAAGCTATTTGTCATAAAAATGAAGCAGAGAGTATCAGAACTCTCAGAAAACAGCAACAAAAAATCTCGAATAATCTAACGTATTTCCTGATTTTAAATATTTTGAGGTTAGGAAATAGTTATTATTTTCTGTTTTGTAAATTAATCTAGATTATATTATATTGAGGCTAGATTTATATATATTGGGAAAATCTGGGTTATAATGTATCAGAATTGATGTGTTCCAGGCTGCAATTTTTTATGGTGGTTGAGACTATAATGGGGAATTTGTGAAGAGACCTTAATGAAGGGACACTTTGCAGTATGTAAAAGCATTTATGCACGCAAGTGTGTGTTGTGAAGATGTACTTCACTTCTAGGAATTTGCATGTGTTCCTTATGATGTGTGGTATCCCAAATGCAGCAGAAAGTTAGATGAGATTCTCTGTGTGGCTGTCTAGAAAGTATCTTTCTAAAAAGTGCAGTAGAAAATGCACTTTACTGGAGTATTTTTATGAAGCAAGCTTCACTGCTGATGCAATGTAAGCCTGACTTAGGTAACAGCTCTAGAGTCATTGCTTCACACGTATTTTGCAGTCAAACAAGCAATAAAATCTCTAAATCAATGGTAATTCAAAGCTTTTTGGGTTTGGATTTTGGGTTTTTTAATAGTAAAAGTTTATTCTTATACTCATTTTTTCAAGAAAAAAAAAAGCCTATTTTCTGTGGTGAGACAGCAGTAGAGGTAGAAATGCCACAGAGATGAGGCATTTTAAAGCAAGCAAGGAATATGGATCAGTGTAAATGCCTCTGCCTGAAGAATATGATTTATCCCTATTCATCTCTGTATGCAGGGTGACCTCTGGAATTAGGTGAGGTGTGTCTCCACTGTTGCAATGCAGAGGAAGTGATTCAGCTTTCTGTAAGCCCCCTGAGTCACGATTTGGAGAWATTCTGGAGCAGTGGCATGGAGAATTGCTCAGGTGTACCCAGAATCAGGGACCAATCCTCCATCTGTTCCCAACTTGTGCCATTCCTACCACTTATGCTGCCTAAACTTGTCCATGCATCCATTTAAGCAGAACAAGTGGGAAAAGTTTGAAAATCCAGCAGCAGGATTCTCTCAGTCAACAGGAAAAAAATATCCTCACATATTTGAAAGAAAAATAATCCTGGCTCAGCTGAAAACTGGTAAATCAGTACCGTATATTTCTTCCTGTTCTCAGTCTTTGGAGTTTACAGAACTATAAATGAACTGCACACCCAGGCTGAAAAGAGCAAGAAGAAAACAGAATAAAAACTCCTTTTAGCTTAATGACATAATATAATTAGCTTAGTTATGTTTCCATACATTAGTGGCTAACAGTGATATCTATTTTACACTTTGTTACTCTTTATCTCAGTGAAATAATATTCTCTCTATCTGAAGCCAACATAGGCTGATGTCATAGAATAGCTATGGTTTTTGCAAACCATACACAATAATTATTTCAGACATCAAATACTATTCAATGAAAACATTCTACATTGTTTTCAAGGATTTGTGCAAAGATTTGGAGAGGGAAAATTCCATTTTATACTGGTTTTCTTTGGCACTGTGTATCCTGTTACAACCTGAGAAAGAAAGGGTTGTAAGAGAAGGATTTCAGTTGTCTTCGATAGGCATTGGAGTAGMTTCTTAGAGTTGAGGTGCAATATGCATACTTTTTCTCTGTTGGATTAATTTTGGTGTCAGCGTTCTTGCTATATAGACCCTGCAGACTAAAGGCAACAGTGAAATAAAAGGAGTCATCTCCAACAGAGTCTAGAGAGATTTCCATTARCTTTTGTCAAAAACAAAATGGATCCAGTATTTTAGACTGTTTTCTTGCTGCAGGAAGTATATGCATAGTATGATAAACCTTAGTTTAGTATTTATACTCTTAATGACTTTATTTTACAGCTCTAATAAATACCCTTTAAATTTCTACAGCTGAATTCAAAGARGGTTATGCAAGCTTGGTTTAATTCTGGCTTTCTTTTATGAAAATTCAACATTTTGCATTTTCAATATTATCCTGGTTTTGATGCAATAAGGACAATAGAAAAAAAAAAACAGTTATAGAGAGGTATATAGCAGTAATTTAATGTCAATATTAAAGATAAAGGATTTTGTTCAAAAGGAATGGTATAAAAAGGGCAAGTAAATACTGCTCCCGTTCCTCCTCCAGGAAGGCAATTCTCAGTTTTTGCTATACAGCATGATCAAAATGCGTCATTCTCCAAGACAATGGTCCCTTACCTGGGAACTTTTATCTCTGYAGTTTGTACACAACCTTGAGTCTACATTTTATTGTGTGTTGGAGATACCAATTCAGTACACRAGCTTTAAAAATTTTAGAAAATGTAGTAAAAAGAATATTTTTTTCTTCCAAAGCTAATTTGGAAAGCATAAAGTACTAATCTCGGTAAACAACTCAAGATACGTACATAAAATGTTTAGGAAAAACATGTTTTCTCTGATTCACGACCTACTCGTGTTACTGTACAGCTATTGCAGATCAGCAAAACCTATTCTTGCCTTTTAAAGTAGCTCAATTAAAACCAGAATAATTCTTAAGACACTCAATGTAATAATTTTTATCCATGTATATTGTCTGTGTATATATAAAAAATTGAACTATATTATATATAACTCTGGTGATAAAGCCATGGTTCTGCCACAATATTTTCTAAACAATCATTTTCTGATTTTTTTATTATGAGAATGCATCTGATATTTTTTGTGTGACAATTAATTTAATATTTAAAAATCTGCTTTGCATTTTTTTCAGAAATTCAAAAACAGAAAACAGAGAGACCTGAAAAACGAACACCAGCAAAGGGTAATTATTTTTTTGACTGTTTGCCTGGATAAATGTGTGCAAAGTAAAGTGTCTTTATCAACKACATATGTTATTACTGTTGTATCATAGAAGTATTCAAAGATGAATTGACACAGACTGCAGATGATCAAAAATTCATGTATGCCTTAGCATTAACAAAAAAAATGTAATTTTATGCTTGTGTGGCTACATTGAAAATGCACATTCATAATAAGATTCTCCTGCCCAAACTTTTCCAGAAATCTTTTTTTCTAGCAAAGGTGCAAGAAAGTTGAGTGTTGATGAACTTCCTCTGGTGCAAAAGGCATGAAGTGTGTTGGGCAAGGAAGAAAACAAATTTATAGGCCAGTGGGTGCCATCCAAGTCAGGAAGTCATAGTTGAGAGTGAGCCAGGTGTGTATCAGAGATAAGAAAAACTTCCATTTTAAGAACCTACCCTTTTGCAGACTGTTTAATGTAACTGGCACTTTCCAAAAATCCACAGAGAAACTGGTTTGGACTGGTTTTCAGAGATCATGTAAAGGAAGGTGTTTCCTGGGACATCTGTGGTGTTTTTTTGCCTAACAAAGCTCCTCCATAAAGGCTGCATAAAACTTGACGAGGATCCCTCTGATGTATTGGTGCTCTGCTTGATAATGGCAGGAGGAAGCAAGAAGGAAGCTTATTAAAAATAGTGGGTGTTCACWTAAACCCTCCCTTGTGCAATTATATTCATTTCTATATGTATTCTTAGTGTCTTTTTATAGTGTTTTACACCTCTGGAARATGTTATTATAGTATTTCACACCTCCAGTTACGTGTTAATCAGGGTCATCTGGACTGCTTAGAATTGTTTCTCGTTTACTTAATAAATCATGCTGCATCAAAATGAATTTTTTAGGGTACCAGTGGGCTAGTGAGGCAATAATGAACTCAGATCCATTAGCAAGAATCGCAGTTAAGGCCTTTTCAATCAATGTAATCTAAAACCACAAATGATATTGCAATCTTGACCAAAAACAGCCTCTTGTGCACCATTTCATCTATACAGAAGTGCATTTCTTTAGAAAGAAGAACATTAACATTGCAGAAATTATTACAAACTTATAAGATGCCATAAAAAAAAAGGGTTCAGGTGTGGTTAGTTGCATCCCATTATTCATGTGCCKGGTAGTGCAGTCTTTAGTTATACAATCGCTTACTGAAGCACAAAACAAATTTATTTTCTATATTTTGTTTTCTTGTTTAGTTCCAACAATGTGACTGGTACATAGGAGGAACAATTACAAGAAAACATTCTGTCTGGCCTCAAACTACAATGTGATAAAGGCCTGAATCATTAGGGAACTTTATTGCTACTCTCTAAAGTACCTTCAGGAAGTATGTACTAATACAGTATTTTATTGCTTTTAATAGGAAAAATCTAGMGGTAAAATGAATGTTTTTAATAGCAGCAAACAATGGGAAAAAAAATTTCAGTCCTTGGCCCAAAATGTGAGAACACTAGAGTTTCAAAAGTAATTTAATTATATTTTTTTGAATTGTCAAATCCTCTGAGTCCAAGTCCCACAATTTACAAGGGAGTCCATAAGCCTAATTTTTGAAAGATTGAACTGAAATATGAGGAATAGTTATAATGAATAAAAATCCCAGGTGGAAGTGGCTGAAATTATGTGATCCAAGCAGTATTGAGAGCCAGGGAAACTGGTGCCCTAAAATTTGCTTTTAATTAAATATTTYGATAAACTACTGGTAATTATGTCTATTTCAATTATTGTAGTCAATTTGATCCTGGAAAGAAGAAATACTCTGAGAAATTATTCCACAAAGCCTTTGGTCATGCTTAAGAACCCTGAAATCAAATTATTTCACGATAACGTGTACACATAAGCACAAATTCACTACAAAGGAGAGTCTTTCCAACTTGATATTTGAGGTATTGATACTTTCACAAGTGCCAGTGGCACCCCGAGCTGTATGAGCAGGAGCCAGCAGAGGCACGAGGGATTGATGATCCACCTTACCCAACTCTTCTGAGACCAAACCTAGATACTGTGTCCACTTCTGGGCACCCCAARTTCAGGAAAGCCAACCCTAAACTGGGGTGAGTTCCATGTGGGGCCACTCTCATGGTCAGGGCTGGAACAGGTTCTGCCACTTTGTGATGCTTTGTAGCTTTTGCAGGACTCTGAGCTGCTGCTGAAGACTGTTTAAGAAATAGGTGATATAATTGTTATTGCTATTACTACCAGTAAAATTTAACTGCACATTGTTTTGGCAAAAGGTAAGAACAATAATAAAATATAATGAGATAACAGTATATTTAAGTACAGAAATTCTGTCTGATGGAATGTCCAATGATAATTTCTGATTTTTATGGAAAACCAATTTTACCAGTGAAACGAATTGTCCTGCATTTCTGGGAAACAGCTCTAATTACAACAGGTATTGAGGGGGAATTGGGAAATGTTGATTTGCTTTGAGGCTTTTCCCAAAATCACTTTGTTAATACATTGTTGTTGGAATGAAGTATGGAAGAAAACAGTATAATGATGGTTACTGCTAGCAGACRTATATCAAACCAGTGTGATTTTAGGGCAGATGTTTTTGTGCTTCTGAATTAACACTAGTTGTTCCAGGGTTTTTTTTCAGAATGTATCTTTGAATTCAACCTGATTTCACRAATAGAGTCCAGATCCCTCAAGACTATTTCATTTACTATGCAGACATATCAACTTGTTATTAGGGCTGTATTGATAATGCAAATATGAAACATCACAGAATAAAGATATTGTATTTTACCATATGGAGAAATTATGAGATTATAAGGACAAATATAATACGTTCCCATAATTTAATTTGCTCTAGCTRGAAGACAAAGTATTTGAGACAGCTAAATAGATAAATAAAGCTAGACTATACAAATCTGTAGTAYGTTAGAAACCCACACAACTTCAGCAAGTTAGCAAATTAAAAGGTATATTTCTGACACAGGGGCTGTCTAACCTCATTTCTGAAGGCACTGCTGCAAATATGCCTGTGTTAACTTTAAACTGGAGAACCTGGTGCAGATGGCAACAGAGCTGTGGTTTCCTTAAATTATTTATTTGGACCAGGGAGTCTATCCCCTCTCCAGACCAACCCCCTCACCCCCTTTTTTTTCTTCCAGTGTTCCTTCAGGAAGAATTAAGTTATAGCCATCTAAAATTACTTTATTTCCGAATGAAAGCATCTACACAGAGATTTAATGCTCTCTGACTAATGCACTCCAACTTCATYGTATTAGTTCATTTATCTTAACTTTCCTGAGAGCACTGCCCCGTAGACAAGCACTTAGTCTGTGAGCTGAGCTCTGCTTCATGCTTYCTGCACTCATCACTGGGCTTTGTGCTAAGCAGCAGTCTTAAGACTTACTCAGCTGGAAACTATTTTTACTTCTCTTAGGTGTGGAAGCAGTGTCTTGCRACATCTCTTCTTTCTGCACTTTCTGTTTTGGTGTATGGAATCCCTTTGTTGGAGAACTGTATCGCAGAAACATTAAATCACATTCCCCTTCACTATGTCTTCAATTTGATGCAAACAAAATCTACTATGATGACTGAAATTTGAAAAATCCTCTCATATACATCCTATGCTTCCTATTTTTGATTTTATGTGAAGTAGACAGCAATTTTAAGTTTGAAACACGTTGTTAAATTACCTTAAAATTTTCCATTATAAGCTCCTATTTTAGATTATTTATAAATTTATCACACTCCAGTCACTGAGGATGAGATTTCCCATGTTCATCTTTTTTGCCTCAGGCTGAATTTTCATTCAAAGGCATGTAAAAATGTTTCAGCAATTTCCAAAATCTAGGTTAGTGGAAATTAGGTTGGGGTGTTGTATTTTTTTCAAATGCTAATAACAGTTCATTCTGAGCTTATGACTTCTTGGTATTTGCAAGGAAGTCCAAGAAAATTTCATTTGTGGAAAAATTTTAGCTTCCACAATTGTCATAAATCTATGGGGTTTTTTAAGTCTAGTTATTAGTTTTTCCTCTGGATGATGCCATCATCCTAGCAGCAAAAGTAACAAAAGGAAAGAGGTGATCTTTTAATTACAAAGTGTGTCATAAAACTAATAAAATGGTTGAATTGAAGTTGAATGAACAGTTTTAGTTTCAGCATTTTTGAGCTGAAGAGTGTGTAAGAAGCCTTAAAATTATGTTTATGCTTGTGCTTTACTGGTTTTTGTTTTGTTTTGTTTTTGTTTTGTTTTGTTTTGTTTTGTTTTTTGTTTGTTTTTGTTTTGTTGTTTTTTTTTTTTAATATGAAAAAGAAAATCTGATCAACTCTAATTTGTTTCATAGAAATATTTCAGTATGGCCAGCCTGGCTTATTCTAAAATTTAATGCTTGCACCCAGCATTGTGGGCTTGAAAAAAGTCATGTATTAAGCCTTTTACAAAGAAAAAGATACCCACGTAACAAAATGTGGAAAAGATCTGTAGACAGTGATGTATTTTCTATGGCAGAGCTTTTAGGACTACATATGGAGTTGAACATCAAAACCTTTAGGGGAAAGTTAATATGTTAAGGAATATCAGATTTAAATTTGTCAGATCAAAAGCTTCAGTGGATTTTGTTGGTCTTGTGATTGAAGAGTCAAAAATGGCCAGTGATCACAGCCCTGAAACATGAACACTTTARTTTTTGGCAGCACCTGCCCTTCCCGAATAAGGGAAACCCTAGCTCTGACAGTGCCCATAAGAGGTAATGATAAACATTACAATCTGAGATTAGCAACCTCTGAGGCYGTGGGGATATCAGCACACAGGATAAGGCTCTCAAACTAACCAGAGATCACCTTCAGCCTATAATTGGGAGGAGAAAAATAGCTTATGCTTATGCCAGCCTGGTCTCTGCTTATCCACATTCCAGGCTCCCTGCCCAGATACATTGAGTTACTTTTCTTTCTCAAGAAGGGGCCAACTGATCCCTTCTTCATGTTTTCAGTTGTAGTCCACACAGATATTTATACATCCTTGCATTTTAGTTATTTGTGTCGTTTTGAGGATGTGAAACAAATTAGGTTTTTTTGTCCACTTTCAGGTCTCCTGACATTCAATTCAGTTAGTGTTGTTCAAGGCTCATTTTGTGGGTTTGTTATGTGTGTGTGTGTGTGTCAGTTTTTTGTTTTGTTTTGTGTTTTTGATTGGGTTTTTTTGTGTGTTTGTTTGTTTGTGGTGTTTTCTTTTATTGTTGTTGTGTGGGTTTTTTTCCAAAACCATGAAATAAGGGAATGCTATGTAAAAACTACAATAAATTTTTAAAAACCCACAATAGTCTCTCTTACACAAGTAAGATGTCCTGTGGATAAAAACAAGCTTTCTGATTACCAGTCTGTTCTGCATAGCTGAGCTGTATTTTTTGGCCTAGAGGCTYCAAGAGCTTTTGTCTGAATGTGCAGAAGCTCATGTTTCACTCGCATTGACCATCACAGAGCTATTGTTTGCAAAACTGTGCTGTTGGCCCAGCCAAAACTGATAAAAGAGTTTGGCATGGAGCCAGCACCTGCTAATACAAAYGTAACGTGTAAAAGCATGCTACAATTTCTGCAAAAAATGCTCAATTTAGAGAATCTTTTTTTTCTGAGTGTGTTCTAGACGTCCTAAAGCATTTGCACGGATTGCAGTCCGTTATTCATTCAATAATACCTTTCTGGTGCTGCTGAATTCTTCACAGTCTTGGGTTTTTTAGCGTAAATTTACTGTCCATATTCCTTCAAGGCTTTGAAAAATCTCTCTTCAATCTTTTTCCCCTCTACTGTTTGTTATCAGCAATAATTTATTTGTTATGACTGGAAATTAATTTTGGATAATRCAAACAGACATAAGACATAATGAATTTGCTGAATGTTCTGAATGACTTTTCTTAATGACTAGGACCTGCTTTTTAATGTGAGTATTCTCAGCCAACAAAAAAATGCTTGCCCTTTTGTGAAATGACGTTCTCTGCAAAGCTGGTGAAATGAATTGATGCAAAAGCATATGTGCTTGTTTATAAAGCTTACTGTCTTCTAATCAGAATTTTGTTGACTTGGTCCCAGGAACCTGGGTACTGATGAGAAAATATTTTTTCCCTGAAATTACAAAATGCTAATCTTTTAGAAGTACAGGTTGAGAAGGATAAAATCATTACTGTGTGGGACTGAACCACTYTGTAACATGGTCTGAGATCTGGGTGGGCAATAGAGTTCGTAGGGACTTATGTTTGTCTGCTTCTCCCAAGACATGGAGTCAGTTGTGTTTTGAACAGCTGCTCTTCCTGAGGTTACACYCTGATTAAAAGAGATGTTTTCTTGTTAATCCATCCTGTGACGGAAGTAACAGCTAAAAATAAAGAAAAAATAGCATAGAAAGCAATATGCTGGTGGGTTTTTTGTTAAGAATAGAAAGCAATGTTGTCAAGSGCTGAAAATAATTTCCTCTGTCAGAAATCTTGGAGTCTTAGGGTGCTTGTGTAATGGGACCAAAAGAGATAGGATAGATTAGATTGAGGTTGCTGAGTAATCWCTTCTTTCCAAAAATATGGTCTAATATCTGAAGTCTCATTCAAGGAAAATATTTCTCTTGGACCTGGAATTAAATATTGACATTAGAAAGCTATACATCATCAAGTACCTGTGACTCAGAGGTAAAATCCATTATTTGGTTTTACAAATGTTTTTCCTTGATCACTTTCATGAGACATTAAGTGTGCGTAATACATCTAYCTTACAGATTTGTTGTGAGTTGGGGTTTAATTGTTTATTTATTATTTGTAGCAACGCACAGAGAAAAACCTGAGAAGCAAGAAAAAATTGAGAGGAAGGAACCCCTAAAGGGTATGTATTCAGATTTTGATAACCTTTGTCCTTTTTATTAGTGGTTCGGAATAGTTTAACTTATGGATTCTTAGATTGTTCTTGTGGATCCCAATTATGCTTAAGGATGGACGAGGTGGTGTTTGAAGGAGAATGAGCATTTTAGAAACAATTTGAATTCTTCACTTTACAGAAAAGCTGAAATTATATTCAGAGATTAATTAATAAGCCTTTACTATACTATTAACTTATGTAAAGTGTTCTGTATGCCCAGAGCACAAATAGGTGTCTTTTTTTTCTTCTTGAATAAATCCAAGCATATTATTTGTCCTTGAGAATACTTCTGACCAAAATGCCATGAGTAAATTATAACATACTGGAAATGGTCCCTATAGACATTCTGCTTTGGAAATCTGCTTAAAAAAAAAAAAAAAAATCCTTCATACTCATTTCAGAGACATTGGGGAGAGATTTTAGAGAGAATTGAAGAGCTTCTTGCTGGTATATGCCAACAATAAAATACAGATCTATTGTAGAAGTCAGAATCAGGACACTGCTTATTCTCCATTCACAACTCATGAGCTATCTCTGGGTTACAAGAGACTCCAYCTAGTTTGCCTTTTGTGACAGATATTTTAGCAAAATGGAGCATGCCTGCTAGTCAAAACAATTTAATTCTCCTGAGAACATGTCCTTTGCACTAAATTATGGCTAATGAAGTCTTGGTCTGGAGGAAGAAACACATTCTGGAAGAGCAAACAGGCCATAATAAATCACAAAAAAAAAAAAAAAAAAAAAAAAAAAAAANAAGAAGACTGAATATCCAACCACAGCAGACTTTTTCAGGCCAAGAACACAAGTGAGGATGCACCTCCTGAAGGCTGTGCTTGACTGGGCCTTCTAATGGTCTCTAATTGGAGCTTTTACATTTCATATAAGTAATTCAAAATGCATCGAGTTAACAAGACTGATTTTAGAAGTTAATGGCAGGAATATAAATTGTCTGTTAGAATGAATATTTATTAGTAGAAAATGGAATGGTGATGGAAATTTTTTCTGAGATTTCTAAAAATGACAAAGCAAAGAAAATAATGTCCCATATTAAARCATGAATTTGCCTTTAAGGCTTCTGTTATTATGTGGAAAACTTGAGGAGTTCTTCATTTTGGTTTCACAGAACAATAATGCTTAATGTTTTTTCAAGTTTCTTAGAACATTAAAAAGAAATCTKAGCAAATCTCAGATGGCCAGTGGGAAAACAAAAGACCATTGTATTGCCTTAACTTTCCATAAACCTTATTAATATTCTGTCTAGCAAATAGTATTTTGTCTTTAAGTGAACTCTTTTGTTTAGTCAACTACTGCCAAAACTGCTACTGAAACATTATTGTGTATAGAGATTCTCTGTATTCACAGTATTAATAAACATTCCTTTCAAACTGTACATTAAATTTCAAAACTACAGCTATGSATGTGTGTCTTTCTAAGGTCCAATTCATTGTAGTGTGACTGGGACACTCCAGGGACTGCATGCCTGTATTGTAGCTTCATTTCTACATCAAATACACTCCCTTTTTCAAGACTGAGCTAATGGAGGATATAAATAGCATCCTGTTCTAATTTATAATCAGCTTCTGGGATGAAGTTTAGGAAAGTTATTTAATGACACAGAGAGTAATTAGAAGTGTCTCAGTCACTTAGCAGTGCTTTGGTCAGAGATGTCAGCCACAGCCATATTCTCATGTATACATCAATATATTGCCTAAAATTTTTGTAAGCCTGAATATTCCCTACCGCTCTTCTTTTGCATCCAGTTGGATATGAAATTCATGGTACTGTAAAAGAAGTTTCTTATCGCCTCATGTTAGACAAAGGGATTTTTGCTAAACTTGGATGAAATCTCCACAGGAGTTAGAGTTAACCTAGGCTTGAGTTTTCATGGCTGATTTTTCTGAAGTGCTTTAAAACCCACATGCTTTTTTTTTTTTTTTTTTTTTTTTTTTTTTTTTTTTTTTCTGGAAAATTATAGTGTAAAATCCTAAGAAAAGCAAGTGGAAAATGCTCCGTGAACAAGTGGATGGCATAATGCAGTTTCCACTGTCATAATGTTAGTTTTGCTTTGCACATACTGGGCATCTAATTATGGTTCTGAGATCGTCATTGCCGGGGACTGATCTCAGCTGGTGTCCATTACCATCTATCTGTATCCATTACTAGCTACCCATATCCATTACTGGTTATCCATTTCAAGCCAGCTGGCAAGTGACAGACGTATCATTTGCACATGTGATTCTCTTACGCGCTGAGATTGGTTCCAAGGTTTTTACAACCTGTGTCTGACAGAGTATGGGGTGGCCAAGGTGAAGCCCTCTTTGTATCACAGGCAGCAGCATTTGCTGTGAGCTGCACCTTAGCACTTGACAGTTTTCTGAAAGTCTCTCTTCTGGAATTGCAGACAATTGCAAGAGATGATGTTRTGAGGCAAACAGCTGAGGCATGTTACCATGGCACTGACTTGTTAGCCAGAGCTGGCTGCTCACACCCGTGTAGTGTGATGTATGCTGAGAAAATATGCAGGGGGCAGCTCAGGGGTAACACACTCTGCCACTTAGTTTCCTAAGGCTTATCTTGGTGCAATTGTTTTGGATTATTA